ACCTGGCCTTGCACCTGCACCTGGCCTCGCACCTGCACCTGGCCTCGCACCTGCACCTGGCCTCGCACCTGCAGCCTTGGACAAAGGTTGGGAGTGGAGTTGAGCATTGCACTTTTCTGTTTTAAGAGTTCAGCGCTTCTTCTAGGCATCACAAAGAAGAAAAAAAATCATTTGGCGCAATTGTTGTAATGCTTTAGTAGATAGAGTCAGGGCAATTTTTGATTCAGAGAACTCCTTGGAGCTTGTTTAGATCACCGATTTCATAGGAAATCTAATAAAAGTTATAGACCATCTCCCAGGGGAAAATCGCATTCATGCGTAGGCACATACATGCAAGCACATTCTCTCTCTCTCTCTCTTTCTCTCTCTCTCTCTCTCCCTCCCTCCCTCTCTCTCCCTCTCTTTCTCTCTCTCTCTCTCTCACACACACACAAACACTACCCTTTATCATAACCTCATACCTTCATCTACTACCCTTCAGTCCTATTGGTCACCTGTTGTTCATCAGACACACCCTAACCCCTTTCTCTATCCCTTTCAGTACAGCTGGCCTCTCTACTCAAATGGCATCTCCTCAGAGAGGCCTCCTCTGACCCCAACCCTCTTGGTCCTCAGCAGGGCCCTATAATCCCAGTATTGGACCATATATGATTCCTTCCTGCTGTTCACCTTAATCTGTGACTTGAGGATATTTATTAGTTTTCTTGTTTGCCATGTGTGCAATCTGGGACAACACAAATGCCATTTCTTCAGTCTCTCCCTTCATTACCAAGGCTTATCCTTTTTTCTTTTCTTTTTTTTTTCTTTTTTGGTTTTTCAGACAGGGTTTCTCTGTGTAGCCCTGGCTGTCCTGGAACTCACTCTGTAGACCAGGCTGGCCTCAAACTCAGAGATCCACTTGCCTCTGCCTCCCAAGTGCTGGGATTAAAGGTGTGCGCCACCACTGCCCGGCTACCAAGGCTTATCCTTGAGTAGGTCACATGCACAGCTCCACACGTGCCTTGAGGGGTCTCTCTCCTTGAAGGTAGATCTGATTTGGGTCCAACTTTCTTATCCACAGGGGGCCCTTTCTGCTATGACCATAGCTATGACCATAGCTTTTTATACTGTCCCCTCCTTCACAGAACAACACAGAAAGTGGGTGAAACATGGCCCAGCAGATGCTCTGAGCACCAGAGACAAATTTCAGAATGCAGCGCTGCTAAGTCGAGCACATTTGGCTGAGCATTTCCTTTATGGCCCTAGTCTGACTGGTTGTGCCCTTGAAACATGTGAAATCATTTCTCATGCCTTCTTGAAGGAGAGGGAGAAGAAGCAGAGAGCAAGAATGTTGAATTTTTAAATATCACTTCTTAAGGTAGGCTCAGAGCTCCCTTGGTGGTGAATAACCGGGGATTCAGAACTGACCCCCTTGCTTTAGGAACATCCGTATACCATAGTCCAGAGGGACTGGAGTTAGCAATGGTAGAGCTGCCCCTGGGTACCAGCCTCCCTTCCCATGCTGCAGGTCTGCTTCCCGCTGCAGTCCCTTGCGCTATCCAGGTGCAGGCAGGCAGCTGTGGCTATGACAAGCAGAAGAAGAACAGCCTGTTTAATCTGGCTAATAACGGGAAAGGTCCCTAGGGTCCCCACAGATGTCCTCCTGCCTCAGAGTGAAAAAAAAAAAAAAAAGAGCTCACGTTGCTAGAATATTCTTTGTTTTCCAAAGTGCCTCCCTGACCCCTGTTATTCTCGCTATAACCTGGGCAGATGGGCAGAGCTGTCTCACAGTTACAGGCGAAGAGACTGAAGCAGAGAGTCTGAGGGCTTTGCAAGGTCAGGAGAGCTTCCAGGGAGCACGCTGTGAGGAATTATGATAACCAGGTCTCTAGAGGGCTCAGCTGCTTCTTTATGAATGCCTTATCTACCCTGCCAATCTGCCCATCCCCCTCTGTAACACCCCCCAACAATTTCCTGTGACTCTTGTATTAGATTGTGGTCAAGGTCATTCTAGGTGGGGGGGGGCATCTGAATGAAGCTGTAATAAGAGAATAACAGTCAAGCAATCATGTTAGAAATGGGTCTTTCACATACAACTTTTTATCTTATTTTAAAAAGTAAATCTACTAGTTAATTTGTATTTGTCCTCCTCCCTCCTCTCTTCTACAAGACAGGGTCTCACTATGTAGCTCTGGCTGTCCTGGAACTCATTATGTACATCAGACTGGCCTCGAACTCAGAGACCCGCCTGCCTCTGCCTTTCAGGATATATACCACTATACCTGGGGGGGGGGGCTTTTATTTGTTTAAGTAATTGGTAAACTATTTGTTCTAAATACTGATATTCAAGGCCTTTGAGAGCACCATTATGCCAAAAATGTTAAACCATTTAATAAAGAGAGACCGGGATGACTTAGCTAATGGTTTGAGGATCCCCTCTTTCCTAACATTTTACAATAAGACTTTCCTATGTGTCAAAAGTTCGAAATTTAATGCAACAACAAGACTCCCCCACCCCCTACCAACTCACACACCTACAGTAGCTGTGCACCAGACACATTCACAGACAGGACACAATGCTTCTGCCACAGTCTGGATCTTTCCTACTGCGTAACTTCCCCAACCCCCACAACTCCCTTTTGAACCTTCCTTGCTTAAGAAGGCTTTTTAGTCTTGATGTCTTGTTCCAGATTCATGAGCCCCACACCAATACTTGGTACTGGGAAGTATTTGAGTTAGACAAAGAAGATGGCTCTGGAGATGGAGAAGCAGTAACTCTGACTTGCCTGGAGAGTATTTACCCTGCATGGATCTTGGCAATACTCCTGGCCCATCAGGTCCAGCTTGGCTTCTTTTGCTCATCTGGGTGCTTCTCTGTCTCTTATTGCTCCTGGATCTCTTAGCATGGGATGTTCTTTCAAAGAGGTAAAATATCACAACAACCCGGGCTGGCAGAATTACTAAGAGACAGAGCTCAGAGTGTAAAGCTCATGGAGCAGGGGGCAAAAGAAGACAGAGAAGGGCACAGTCTCTTGGACACTCACCTCTCCCAGCTGCTCGGCTCCCCCAGGCGTGATGAGGAGGTGTTGTGAGAGATAAAATTAAGCTGCTTATGGAGAATTAGTCACTGAGGATAGCCTCTGAGCCTTAGCATCAGCAAGATCTAACAGCCTGTTTCTGCTCTTTCTCTTTGGAGGAAGGAGATTGGCAGCTACTCAACTCAGTCTGGCTTCCATAAAAGGAGCTCTGAGCTATCTGGTCCATGGGCAACAGATGAGGGCATTCAAAGGAAAAAAAAAAAAAAGAAGAAGAACACCAAAAGATGGAGCCAAAAGACCTATCAGCTCAGCATCCCTTATCCGAAACGATTGGGACCAGAAGTATTTGGAATTTCAGACTGTGGAATATTTGTGTATGTATAAGTGGAAGATCTTAGGGAAGGGACCCAAATCTACATTCATTTACATTTCATATACACCTTATATACAGCACCTGGAGGACATTTTCTATAATGGTTTTTGCATGCTGCTGTTTTGACTGTGATCTGTCACATGAGGTTAAGTGTGGAATGTTCCATGTGTGGTATCATATGGATGATCAAAAAGGTGCGGACTTAGAAGTTATGGCTTTGGGGATTAGGGATGTTCAAACTGTATCTGCACTGGACATTAGCAGTTAGAGAATGGCCATGGGTCTTCTCTTGTTGGCTAGACAGGTTGATTCTCTTTCTTTGGAGTAAAGACCTCTACAGTGTTTGATCTGATTTGGTTTATCCTCCTTTGAGGAGCAGTGATGTAAGTACGTGCAGAATCGACATCAAGAAGGCTGGGTCATCAGTGGAGGCCACACCCAGGCACCAAGTTAGTCCCCACAAAAGAGCATCGTAATCATCTTCATTTTTACAATGAGGAAACTGAGGGCCAGAATGATGACAGACTTGGTCGAGCTACCTCAGCCGGTGTGATTTCAAAGCTCACCTCCCACCCACTGCCTAACATATCTATGCATTTTCTCTCTTCTGTGTTCATTATCTCCAGGGCATGCCTGGTTCTGCTGGCCTTGAGATGTACGGGGTATACTTCAGTAGACAGATGTCTGGTTGGGTCTACATGACCCTGCTTGTCTCTGGGGAGTAGAGAGGTGTCTCAGCTTGGGATGTTCACCACACTGTAACTGATTCAAGTGTCTTTACCCTGCAGTTGCCTGAGGCAGGAGTTCTATGTTCAGGGAGAGCTAAGTGCTGGTGAGGGAGGTGGTGCACATGACCCCTGGTCCTCCTTACTCTGAAGCTTTACTACATTCTGAGATGAGCAGGAGACGACACCTGGGATGTTCACACACCTCACCCCACAGGCCTCTTTCACAGCTGAAAACACTGACCCCTCAACTGTGCGCAAGTGTTTCCAGAGAAGACTCAACTCTCTTTTGGAGCTCCTAGACCAGACCACCAAAGGAAACTCAAGAGACGTGTGAATATCAAGAGGATGATGAGGCCATGTAAGGAGTAACCTGAGGGGTTAATCCACGCTAAACACTCGCACTGACACCTTACAAATATCTAAACCTCCATAACCCTACATAGTGAATGCTATCTCTACCTGCCAGATGACACTGGGAGATGCAAAGACATAAACTAACTTTGAGTAGTGGTCCCTGACCTGTGAATGGTAATCCAATCATTCTGCTACTTTCTCTGATACCCATCCCCTCATTAAGGGAAGGTGCAAATC